TATATATATATATATATATATATATAATTGATGATGCATACTACATACCAACAAGTCGATGAGCACCAAATTAAATCCCTACACAAAGCTGCGTGGGCAGAAAGTTCTCCAGCGGAACTGTTCCCTTCTTTCCTGTTTGTGAAAAGATAGGACTGTGAGATGTTTTGCACAGAACTTGTGGATAAAAACAAGTGGGCTACTGTTGCCATATTTGAGTAAGAATTTTTCATCCTTCAGGATCCAACAGTTCACATACAGTTCACAGGAAAGGATTAATAAAGAGTGAATAAAAGCTGAATAGTCTCCATAAAAGTTACCTTTTTTGCCATCTAGTCCAGCATCAGAAAGTCATAATCATTGTCAGCCTCTGCTGTTTGTATTGTAAAAACTATAGTACTTGATTGTCTTTTTAGAATATATAGTGTATATGTTAAATAAATTAAACAATTAAACATTAATTGAAAAGTACATTACACAATGGGCTTCGTTTTCGGAAACCTTGTTTGGTTATCATTTAGGAGTAATAAAATAGTTATTTCTCTGAAATGTCACTTTTGACAGTGTTGTAAATTATTAGTGAAGTTCACAGATCCAATTGCTGTGACAATTTTGGCATATTTTGGGTCAATTGGAGGCTGTAGGCTAATCCACACCTAAAGGGGCAGATCTTCAAAGAGACACATTGAACTAGCCTATTGTTAATGGTAACACTGCGATGTTCAGAATCAAAAATTACTTGTTCAGTTCATTTTCCTGCTCATTTTATAAAATTTTAGGGAAAATCCAATAGCCTACATTTTTCTTTATTGTTCCAAAATTAATATCTATAATTTTCTTCTTTTCTTCCTTTTGGCTGAGGGTATTAAAGCAGTTCAGAGAACGAAAAGTACATTTACCCTTATCTTTCAGATTTTCACAGATTTTTTAATGCCGTTCCTTTATTCAGAAATAAATATAAAAATGACCAAGCAGTTTTGAAAACCAACGCCTAGTCTAAAAAATTTAACTAATAAAAAAGAATGGTGTACAATTGCACATGTTTCTTAGGCCTTTAACTAATAAAAAAGCAATACGTGAACTGAAGTCACATCATCGGAGTTTACGAGACAACTTTGTTGTTATGAGCACTGCACTTTACA